GCACGCATTCCAGGCGAAACATTGCGCAAAACCCACCTGATGCCATAAAATGCGCATTTGATTAAATGCGGCACGGGCCAGAAAGGGCGGCAGATACCAAGATAGAGATAGAGATACAGATAGATGATAATAGTTGGAGCTGCGAATGATAAAACTAAACAAATGTACTAAATGTGTATGCTCGTGTGCTATTTGCTCCTAATTAATATTTGCATTGGTTCGTTTTGTTACACATATTTAAAACGCAGTTGCACCTGCGGCTCGCATTATACCAAAGGTGTATTGATACAAACCCTTTGATAACTAAGTCCCAAACAAAGCCAAATTAACACCACGTTTGCAGCCTGTGAAATGTGCGTGTGTGTACATACATAATAATCACTCGAGTTGTCTGCCGTCTGGATCGTGCTCTATTATTTAATATTCATGCCCTGTAATCAAAGAGATCGAGAAAGGGTATGCACAATGCTAAAGCATCAGCTGAGTCCATTGTACCTCACCTTACCTTACCTTACCCTAATAAGGTTGACACTCATTTTTGTCTATCATTTATATACATTAAATATATAATGAATTAAGGAGGAGTGTATATAGGTGTCATTCAATCGAACTCTCAGATCGGTTTATATAACCAATATAGTCTAGCTTCTTTTTTTAATGTTAACTACAGAGCATATTCGAGGAGGAGATTGCGCAGGTCGAGCTCTCAGATCGCACTTAAGTACAGGGTATTTCGCAGCCGTGCACATTCACTCAAGTTCCCTCCGACTGGTTTGTATATAATTGCCCGCCATTGATTTCTCTTCTGGGGGTCGCTACGGGCACTTTTTTTTTAGTGGCGGCGCCAGTTAACATGACGGCGTTGAATTTCACAAGAACTGCGACGCGGGCTGAGCCCAACCAATTTCTGATAGCATCGTTATCTTCCCAAATTTCGCTCTCTCGCTCTTTCGAGTTTCGCTCTCTCTCTCTCTCGCGACCAGCGCGTGCCGCCAGACGAGGGCGAAGTCAACTTTGAGTTTGGGTCTGATAAGAACTGTATACAGCTCTTGTCTTGGGGGTTGTCGATCTCACGGTTTGTGTGTGTGTGTGTGCGGGGGTACGGGGGGTTGGGGGTACGCTGTGGGGCGTCACCTGTTTGCGACATGTTCGAGCACGTTTCGCACTGGCAACGCGCAACTGTAAAAGCACCGTACGCTTGGCGCTTTTTATTAATCGAACAACAGAAAACAAAAGCGCGAATACAAAAATGTTATAAAATTCTTGCACATGTCGCCGTTGTCTGTTTGCTTACGCAAATCGTTGCGCATACGCAGCGTGTCGCCAGTTAACCGTTATGCATCGCGTTGAACCACCCAAAAAGAAAAAACACCACCCACAAGCAGGCAGCCCGCCAAACTGCGTCAATGTCGTAAAACTTTCTCACGTTATTCAAATTGAATTGTTTGTTATCCCCCAAAGAATCTCGGGACGCGAATCTCGCCGAACTTATGTTCCCGTTTTGTTTTGTTTTTTTAAGGGGTATTACGGGGCGTATTAATACGACTTAACGGCCGCATTTAAAAGCGAATTTTAACGTTTATGTCACGTTAAGCGCTTGTTTAATGAAGCTATACCGATTTTGCTTAATGAACCACATCGGGAAATTGCCAAAAGTATAGCTTATACTAACGCCTATATATATCAGCTGGAAGCGTATACAAATCAGACTGATTAAACAAAGATTTCACCCACATATTCCGGGAATCGCATTTACCCACGTCTTGGGAAGCACACGGCCCAATCGCCAATGCCTTTCATATATTTATTATTATTGATTCAATTTTAAGTCTATAAATATGTCGAATGCATGAGGGAATCTAAAAAATTCAAATCGAAACCCCGCTGATATATAAACGTCAAATAACAATTAATGACGAAAGCAAATTCGTGACGTCAAAGCAGCTTATCTGAGTTTTTAGCTATGCGTATTTAAATTTATGTATCGCATGCGTAATGCCACACACATACACACATACACATATACATAAATATATTTATAAACGGGTATATAGCGCATTTGAATTTATCTAAAGTTTATAATTCCCTTGAGTTTTGGCTTGGGCGAAATTTCCATGCTCTCAATTCTACGTTTTGCCTAATTAAGCTCTATTTGAATTATGCATATTTATTCTCGATTGCATTGGATTTTCATATTATATATTAAGAACAATAGCATATCCTTCACAGGGCTTCTTTCTCTCTAATTTAATTAATCACAGAATACTTGATGTTAACTGAATCAACTTGACTTATCGACAAAAAAATGAGCAGATATTTTAACTAAATTTGTCGATTATTATTTATAAAAACTTTTTATTTATTTAGCCCCAAGTTGATGCTTATACAAACAAATATTGACTGAAAATTATAGATAAATATAAAGCTAATAATTCTCAGCATTAGTTTATCTTGTTGTAAATAATCTAGTTGCCCTTCAATTGTATAGACTAGGAATTTTATAAGAGTTTAAAGTTTATTAAAATATTTTTGCGCTGTTTCTTGCTTACATATTTTTGTTTCGAAAATAAGAGACCAAATTAATTGGGACTCCAGTCGGAGCATAGATTGATTACATTCGTACCCAGAAGAAGAAGAGCTTAAAGCAAGGGATTCCCCCCGTTGACCCTCCCACTAGCTGGGCATGAATTCATTTTATGACATTTAATTGGGAAAGTGAAGATGTTGTCATGCTTTTGGGCAGACAAATATACAAAAAAACAATATGCGTAATACTTGAACATTATGCGCCGAACTTATTTAAGAAATTAATTTCCACAGAAGCAGCAAATACCTGAACGTTGTTCCATGTCAATCAACGAGCTTGTTATATATACAAAAAACCCTCCAACAGGTGTGTCAAGCGCCGCTTACCGGCGTCGCACCTGGCCCAAACTTGTATCGTCTCTTTGCTGTTATCAATGGCTGAATCTGCTTCTTCTAGGGTTTCCATGAGATGTGAGTCATTACATAAGCATGTTGTTGCCAAGATACTTTGGACCTGGCCAAAAGGTATCTTCAGCTGGAAACCAGGCATTCCTCCATGCAAAATGTGTTCGCATTTTGTTTGGCCAATTGCGATTGCGATTTGTGCTTATAAATATGGTAAGCAACTGTACTAAAATAATAGTCATTAATTAGGCTTATCGCAAACGTGATAAACGATAAACAGCATGTGACTAACACGCAGATCACGTTTTTCGCCAATGTTTTGCGTCTGGCAACAATTGTATATATATATTGTATATATTATTTGGCACACATAGGCCATATGATACCTAGGCAATATCAATAATAAGTGAAAAGTGCAAAAATGGCAAATTACAAGACTCAACACTCAACAACAACGCACTTGACTATGCACCTGAGTAATACGAGTAGCTGCCTATATTTAGTCAACTTCTGGGGGGCTGTCCAATAGTTGTCTATTTTTACAAGCCAACAAACCAATTGGCCGCAATAAAGATTAGTTTTTTTTTTTTTTACAAGCGATTTCTGTTAAATGTCATAACAAATGCATTCGCCGAAATGCCAGACACTGTCCGACTATTGCCCTCCCTACTCATATCATCAGCTTATCAGTTATTGCTCGGCTTGTTATTAAAATGTCTCACGGCTCGAGCTTGAAGAGTTTCAAGGTGCCAAACAGACCCACTTTCTCGACGCTTATCTCTGGCCCACACACAATTTGTTCTCAGCAGTCGGAGCTGGCAGCCCGAGTTTCTGGCTAACAGAAATCGCATGCCGCATGTGACATATGTAATTTGCTGTGTGTTTAATTACTTTGAGGAATGTACAAAAATAAACCGGACAGGTACCAAAAATAGCTTTGGCGCAGAGCTAAATTTAGACAAAGGCAAAAAACCAGACAACTTCTGCATAAATAGCAAAAACAAATAAGAGCGCAATAACAAAGTCGCGGAAATTTTTGTATCAGCAATAATAGCACAAACACCTTCTACGCCTTATCAGACGGCGCAGTTCCGAAGAAAAACACAAAATATGAAGTGCGCAGAGCTAAAAGCCCAATCGAACAGCGGGGGGAATCACCTGAACGCCATTTCCTTTTATGGTTAATATTTAATAACATGGCGAAATACTCCAAGTACTTTCCACACTTAAGAGAAATCTAGCCTTTATTCTCTGTGGCAAGGCTAGAAGCTTACCTTTCGGATTGAGTGAGAGTTCCAAGCACGGGTCAGCGGGTCAGCAGGTGCAGTTAGATTCCTATCAATCAAATTTATTTCAATCAGACTTAGCCTCTAAGAACTTCACTAAGATTTATATATTAATATAAATATAGTATACTTACTTTATAGTTTTTATTATTTTGCTTTTAGCTAAAATGTTTTAAAAGATTTGATTGAAAATGGGCATAGCAAATTTTATGGCAGTTTAATTTGTCAAAATTTGTTTAAAAAAAAAACCATTGCAATTTCTACGTTTTTTGGCGCATTTTGGGAATTATTTATTTTATAGATTTTTTGTACCCTGCAACATTTTTGCTTTATGGTAATTAGTTTATAATGAATAACCTTAAGCGATTAAAATGAAATTATCATTATTTTTTAGTATTGGCTTATATATTTTATAAAAATATAAAATTAATTTCAACAAGCGGCTGTTTAGTCAGTTTTCGTCATGAACGCAACTCAAGCGCTGAGAAAATGTGTGCTTATTGTTTTAATGCTGATTTTGATACGGAGGTGCAAGGTATGAAAAAAAAACAACAATCCATGATAGATGCTGCTAGCTTTCAACTGATCCTAGCCATAAAGACAACTAAACAACGTGGATTCCGACTCGAGTCGCCGATTCGTGTGTGGCTGTTGTATGTCCTGTGGGTATATCCTGTACAGGTGTACATACATACGTTGTATATGCCAATAGTATAAAAAAAGACAAGCTGGATTAACCTTTAATCTGATATATGGCATAACTAACAAACATGTCTGTTACAGACGGCCGCCTTTTGCAAGATGACAAATGCCGTTTGCGAGTCGAGCAACAAATCTTGGGTTATTATCGACAAATGTCGCCTGCGTGCGATAAATCGCAACAAGACGACCTTTAATGCCGATATCAACATACTGTATCCTGTTTACAATATTCATATAAGCCTGCAACTTATGAAAAAGGATAATGGCTATAAGCCCTGGCTTTTTAACTACACAATCGATGGCTGTGTGTTTATGCGCCAGCAGAGACATCCGGTTTTTAAAATGTTCTGGCTTATTTTGCGAGATTTCTCCACAATCAATCATACCTGCCCCTATCAGGTGAGTAAATGTATACCAATTGTTAATTAACTAAACGTCTTACTCAATAGGGCAATCAGATTGTCAAGGATTTCTACTACGATCCCACAAACCTGACCTTGCCTCTGCCAACTGGCGATTATTTGTTGCTCCTAACTTGGATTTTCGACAAGAAGCCGCAATTTGTAACGAACATATATTTCTCATTTTATCAGGATATATTCTGAGATCGGCTAATAACATCTGCCCCAATTAATCTCACAAAATATCGAAAATAAAAATTGTGTTGATATTATCATAATAGTATTATGTATTTTTGAATGTGTGCTGCGGCAATTATATATGAATTATAAATATAAAAACGATTTATTTGACAATATATTGACCCTGCTGTCAGTCAATATCCAATCGTTGAGGCAATGAAACCGAAATATTATCTGGATTCTTACGCAATGCTTTTGCTCTCAGCGCTCTTTGTGGACGCCGTCTATGTATTCGAATCTGTATATCCACATATTGCCCAAGCATAACCAGCTCACATTCCAGACCGCAGCCGTTTGCAAGATGACAAATGCCATTTGCGAGTCCAGAAATGAGTCGTGGGTAACCATCGAGAAGTGCCGATTGCGTGCAGTTAGCCGCACCAAGACCCCTCTAACCATTGAGATAATGGTCCTTTACCCAGCCTATGAAATACACGTTAACGCCCAGCTGCTGAAGAAGGCGAACGGCTATAAGCCCTGGTTGGTCAACTATACGGCCGATGCTTGTGCGTTTATGCGCCGGGCCAATCATCCCTTTATAAAAATCATCTATGATTTGATCAAGGAGTATTCGACAATCAATCATACGTGCCCCTATGTGGTAAGTACAGCGATTGTGCTACAGATTGAACTTTACTTACGATTTCTGTGATAGGCCAGGCAGATGCTTAAGGACTTCATCGTTGATCCAGCCAAATTAATGCTACCCTTGCCAAGTGGAGAATATCTGCTGCTACTCACCTGGATGTTCAATAAAAAGCCGCAGTTTGTGACGAATGTTTACTTTACATTTCGAGATTAACTATTGGCGGCACGAAATTTCGGTGTTTTAAGCTCGGATCAACGGATCAACAAATGGCATATATTTGATTCATTTTGTAATACATTTTGTGCACATCATATGTGTTCATTTAAAAGTAATTATTTATCATTATTATTAAACATTTGCCATTAAATTGGGCTGGCTACAATTGGCTGGGCCAGTATTTGGTTGATTTCTGCGCCTTTATCATGTTATTAAACTGTCATACGATATCATCAAGGACTTCACACGTGTTCCTATGTGGTGTACAAGGACTTCTCTTGCATAACTTCTACTTAATAGGGCAATAGGGCCTACGAATCCAATTTCATATATTTAAATTGCTTTGAGTAATTAATGATTGAAATGCTTTTAATTGATGGGTTTTTTTTTATGAGAAGCTACATCAATGAATGGGACAATGAAACTATTCCAAATCTGCTTTTTATTGTGTGATCTTTTAGAAACTAAAAGAGGGATTCCAAGTGAAGAGGGATATATTATACGCTGCTGTTTATACGCTTCTTCAGGATTTATTTAAATATTTCTAAACAAAGCTATTAGCAAATGTCTGTATGGTGACCAGCTTTGCAAATTTGTGTGCGTAGTCCATTATTATGGCCTATTGAATTCTGAATTATTTAATTTCAACAAAAAATATAAATATCAACTTCTCGATAATTATACACCAATTTGGTATCAGTCAACAGTCAACCGTTGAGGCAATGAAACCTGCAGTAAAACTAACAATTTGTCTGTCATTTGTGGTTGTGCTCCTCATAGAAGCTGTGCATGTATTTAAATCAAAAATCATAAATTGAAACGGCAAAATTCGATGTAACAAATTCAAATTCCAGATGGCAGCCACGGTTAAGTTTACGAATGCCGTCTGCGAGACGAAAAACAAAACATGGGTCACCTTCGATCGTTGCCGACTGCGTGCGATAAATCGCAATAAAACTGTGCTGAATGTGGACTTGAACTTTCTCCATCCGGTGCACACGGCCGACCTCAATTTTCGGATGCAGAAAAAAGCGAATGGCTATAAGCCCTGGTTGGGCGAATATACGGTCGATTTCTGTGCGCTTATGCGCAAATCCAATCATCCGGTTATCAAAATCCTAATTGGCGTTTTTAAGGACTTTTCAACGCTCAACCATACGTGTCCCTATGTGGTCAGTAAATGTTTATCTCACACAGTCTTTATACGTCTGTGATCCACTCTCAATGCAGGGCAAGCAGATTCTCAGGGATTTTTACTGGGATCCCACAGACTTAACGGTGCCTTTACCAAGTGGTGAATACGCCGTGCTGCTCACTTGGATTTTCGATAAGAAGCCACAGTTTGTAACGAAGGTTTACTTTACTTTCCATCAGGATATATTCAAGGACTAGAGCAATTACACAGCGTCGCCCGAATACCATGTGTAATTCGCGCTAGCTTCGAGCGCACCCAAAGTAAAAACTATCTATTGTAATAAATTTAAGGAACACAAACATTAAAAAAAAAACTATTCAATGTGCATGTTCGATAGACTTCAATTCACTCAGATCTTAACTTTCTTATGCACCAAAAAGCAACTGGATATAAGCCGAGCTTAGCGTCAACTTAATCATCCTGTTGTCAAAACTTATCATGATGTTATCAAGAAGTATGCACAAAAATATACAATGCTCAATCACTCCCTTTGAGAGGAGAAAATCACTGTGTGCCTTTCAAGTCTTTATGCAGCCAATCATTCATCAGCTTACCTTCAATAAAGGAACTTACTTGAGATGCTAAAAACATGTTATTACCACGAAGCCCCATTGGCGACTACGCGTTGACTTTGTTTTTCGATGGGCTAAATTAATTTGTAATTAAAATCTATTCATGCATGTATTATGGATATTATGGATTATGGATTTTGTACTATTTAAATTCACAATTATTATAATCTGTTCAGTTGTAATGGCAAATATAATTATAAGCGCACTTTCATATATTTATTAACAGTCAACAATCAACCGCTGAGACAATGAAGCCAACGGTGAATCTGACGATTTGTGTGATATTTGTGGAAACTATCTTCATAAAAACTATCCATGTACTTATTTGAACACTGTCTATTTGCATTAACCCACTCTTGAAAAACGAGTTCAAATTCCAGATGGCAGCCACAGTAAAGTTTACGAACGCAGTTTGCGAAACGAAAAACAAAACTTGGGTTACCTTCGATCTGTGCCGGCTGCGTGCGATTAGTCGCAACAAAACAGTTCTGAACATGGAGATAAACCTTTTGCAGCCGGTGCATGTCGTCGACTTACACTTTCGGATGCAGAAGAGGGCAAATGGATATAAGCCCTGGCTGGGCCAGTATACGGTTGATTTCTGCGCATTTATTCGCAAGGTCAATCATCCTGTCATCAAGATTTATTATGATATTATCAAAAGTTATACAACCCTCAACCACACTTGTCCCTACATGGTAAATAGTAGCTGATCTGAAGTCTATCAAAATACATCTGTGAACAACCTTCAAAACAGGGCAAGCAGATTGTTAAGGACTTCTTCTGGGATCCTAGGGACTTAACGGTGCCTTTGCCAAGTGGGGATTACATGGTGCTCCTAACCTGGATTTTCGATAAGAGACCGCAGGCCTTAACGAATTTTTATTTTACGTTCCGTCAGGATTTATTCAAAGATTAAAAAATTAAGTGTCTTAAGTGAAAACTTAAACTTAATTAATTCAAGCAAACTTGAAATGGATCTTTCTTTAGCGAATAAATAACAGAATCAACTAATTCTGTGATATTTGTGGCAGTTCTCTTCATGAAAACTTTAATATAAGATTTTGATGTGCCTTTGGTAAAACTAGGTTCAATTCCCAATGGTCGCGATTCCAAAAAAAAATACAACCTGCTATTTATGCTATTATATTATAATATTTTAATGGCTTGTGCTCTCTTTCAAATATATATAAATAGTTAAACACAGCCATCAGTTCCGCGCTGACCACCAATCAATCAGTTTTCAATTTATATATATATATATCAATTTTAACAAAATAAAAAACATATTCGTATTTTTATAAAATTACTTTTTTAATTTTTGGAATTTTTTAATACTGAGTTTTATTTTTGAATACAGCTTGTATTCAATCATAGTGCACCGTAAAGTTCCCTTCCGATAGCCGATAACTCGTCCGTTGTCAAGCAATCGATATATATCGAACTCCTGTTTTTTTAAGCAAATCTCAAGCTAGAATCGAAAATTTGACATGAAGCTTCTTATAGAGTATATACTGATCATGATTAGGTATGAGAAGTAGTTAGATTGGTTCTTAGGTCGAAGCAGGCATTTTATTATTCAAAAATGCTATTGTATATCCTTTTAGCTATTAAACTGTCACAGACTGTGTTTTTTCAGGGTATCCTCTAGTCGGCCACTCCCGCCAAGAGGACTCTTTTTTTTTATATGCCATTATTAAGTATTATTATAATAATAGCCTTTAGAGCCAATTGGGAACACCAATTTTAGAATCTTTCGCCCAGTGTATGAATATATATATAATTAAGTTTTACACGTTAGGTTACTATAAAAAAATATATTTCAATTTATTATTTTCACTTAACGGCTACTTTTGTTGAGTACATTCAGATTTGCTTCCCGAATATGAACTGATTTATCTAACTGTTGCGGTCGCTTAGCAAACTTCGCTTTGAGAGAGTTTGAGTCAAAATTGAGTGAAGTTTGAGCTGCGTCAGCAATTATGCGTGGGATAGTACTCTGATGGGAACATTGACAGTGGCGTGATATTTAGGGTGAATTGTTTATGTCTACCAAAGGGGGACAGTTTGATCTTGACCAATGTCGATGTTATCACCAGGCTCTTTGTTTACAATATTAGAAATGTTTATAATTGTGCTTATGCTTATGTGCTAAGTTATGTTAAAGGGTGGGTGCGACTATGGATATGTCACTCCCCCAACCATTAGAAAAGTGCCTGTCCTCAGGTGTTTAAGTTTGGATATGGTGTAACATTTTCTTCTTTTACAATTGGTATATCTCCTATTATTGTAGGTGTTTCTTCTACTTTGGGTTTTTTATATTTTATAATTAATTTCTTAGGTATGCTTTTGAACTTATATGTCAAATACAGTGTTAAACTTATTAATATGATTACAAATATGGTTATTGTAATTATCTGGAATACATTGTTAAATTTTGTATGTGCATTTATAATTTGTTTCGTTTGTACAAACGAAAGTGGTTCTAATTTTATAACATCATTGCTTACGTAAATGCTTTGAGTATAATCTAACATATTGTTTGAAATTGAAATTTCATTAATTTGCAGTGAACAATTAAAGATTTTTATTATATTGTTTCCTTCTATTGTTATTTCGTTATTTATACAATTATGATTTAATATAGTTTTTGGTAAATTCCAAGTTAAAATTATATTTGGTTCTATGTAGTTGATTTGAAAATTTTGCAAAATTTTAGTATAACTACATTCTGATGTTATTTGGTTTAAAATTCCTGTTAAACATTCATTAGTAATTAATTTTTTTGTTTCTCTGCTATAAACTTTTTTATCTTGGGTAAAATATTTTTCATGAGCTATTTCTGTCAAAATATTATTATTTTCATCCGGGTATGGAATTATTTCGAATACCGGGCTTTTTATTATTTCTCGAGGAATATGGGATATTATCAGTATTTCGTTTGTATCTGATTTAAACCAAGTGGAAGTTTTTGTATTCAACAATTTCTCAGAATTAACATGCAACAAATAGTCATGTTTTAGTAATTTTGGGTTAAAAATTCCTAATCTTGTGAGCTGCATTCCCATCTCAATGTCTTCTATATATTCTGTAAAGTGTTGTAAGTTAAATATAAGGATATCTAATTTCTTTCCTTTTTGTTTCTCTTGATCTAGTTCGTTCATGATTTCTATTCCTTTGTTTATAGCTTCTATTATGTAATTTAATTCGTTAACCTGAACGCTGTTTTCTGCTAAGTTGCTTATTTTTTGTTCAATTTCTGCTTTGTCTTCTTGATCTAATGTTCCAAATAAGTATTTATATGCTGTTCCTACTATGTTAACTAAACCTCTTTTGCTGCGTTTGGCTATTTTTAAGCCGTTTATTTCTCTGTTTAATTTTTCTACTAGGTATTCGATTTGTATAAGGTTATTGAATTCTTTACTTTGTTCAATTAAATTGTTAAAAGTTTCTTCGGTTTTTGTTATATTAACCGTTAAACAGTGGAATTCGTAATCTGTCGGAATGTCTATGGTTCCTGTTTTAAATATGAGATATCCGTTATGGGCTTTGATAGGATTAATTTCAATACTCTGTGCATTTATATGGTTTACAGTTATTGATAGTAATATTATAATAATTAATTTAAGCTGGTGCTTGTATGTTTTGATCGCTGTCTGTTGTTGACCTGTAATTGTTATATTTGCTTTGATTAGTCTTCTTTTTCTTTTTGAATTTGGTTTTGTAATGTGTTATTTTCCTGCCTCTGTTAGTTTCCTCAAAATGTTTGTCGTCGATTTGTCTTAGTTCTCCTGTTTTCTTGAACGGGGTTGTCGTCTTTGATTTAACTAACGGTGAGTGTTTGTATCTAGTGTCAATTTCATAATTTGTTCGTTTTTTGTTGAGGTTATTTATTAGTTTTTCTTTATTAGCTTGAGTGTCATACTCTGGTGTACCTGCATATATGAATATGTCCGCTGGTGTTCTGTTAGTCGTTTTGTGCTTTGTTTTATGATTGTACGTGTAGAGTATAGTTTCAAATTTTGTAAGTTTATTTTCGACGTCTGAGTCGCTGTTAATGATTCTTAGTTTTTCGTTAACTGTCTTATGAAATCGTTCTACGTCGGATATACCATTTTTACTAGTGGTTATATTAATATTTACTGCTTCTGATTTTAGCCATAATTGTAAAGCTGTACACATAAAAGCTGAGTCTTTGTCTGCCTTTATTTCGATGGGCTTACCCATTTGGTTGAACACTTGTAATATAGCTCGTTTGGTTTCTAGCCAGTCTTTACTTTTTATATCTAATAATGATGCAAATTTTGAATAGATATCAATGCAAGATAAAAATTGTTTATCTCCTACTATGTAAAAATCCATTACATATTTTTCTCGGATATTAGCGATTTCTGGAGTTATTTCGAAAGTTAATTTTGTATCTCTGTGTTCTGTTTTTGCGATGTTGCAAATCTCACATTCATTTATTAGATTTTGAATTAAATTTTGATAATCTGGGAAATAGTGGGTTTCTTTGAACCAATTGATAGTTTTTTCAATTCCTGGATGTAATAATTCTTTGTGCTTTTTTAATATTAATTCTTTGAATTCTGCGTATGTTTGAAGGTCTATTAATTTTGTACTAGTTTTCATTGCCTTTGTTGAATTATTCGGACTTATTATTTCTAAGTAGGCTTCTTGAAAAATTGGAAAATCTGCTTCGTTGTGGAAGTATAGCACACTTTTCTTTGTGCATAAGTATTCTTTTATTAATTCTTTGGCATGCGTATTAGTCATGTCTTTGTACGTAATTTTTATGTTGGTTTTGTGAAAGTAATTCGTAACTTTTGTTTCGTTCTCGGTTCCTTTTTCAAATTCTATTTGTCGATTGTAATAATTAAGTGGTCTTTCTGTGATTTGTAAATGGTTACTGTTGTCTTCTTGAGCACTATGTATTGTTGCTCTTGTGCTAATTGTATCTTCGCCTAAGAAGTTTTCGTTTAATTGAATTCTGGACAGAGCATCTGCCACATAATTTTCTTTTCCTGGGACGTATTTAATTTGGAAATCAAACTCATTTAGCTTGATCTTCCACCTTTGTAATTTCATGTTAGGTTCTTTCATATTATTTAACCAGACGAGTGGTCTGTGATCACTAAGGATTTGAAATTGTCGACCAAAGAGATAGGACCTAAAGTATTTAGTGGCCCAAACGATTGCTAATAATTCTTTTTCAATCGTTGAATAATTTAACTCATGCTCGTTGAGAGTTCTACTTGCATAGCATATAGGCTTATGCTCTTGCGAAAGGACGGCCCCTATTGCCATATTACTCGCGTCTGTAGTTAATGAAAATGGTTTTTCGAAGTTAGGGTATATTAAAATTGGGTCGGATGTTATGAGTACTTTTAGCTTTTCAAACGCTAGCTCGTAGTCTCTGTCTTTTATATTGATTTTTGCTCCCTTTTTTAATTTAAGTGTTAATGGTTTTACTATATTAGCGAAATTTGGTATAAATTTCCTATAGAAACCACATAATCCTAGAAATGATTTAATTTCTTTTGGGGTTTTTGGAATTGGGAATTTGACAATTGCTTGTATCTTGTTGGGATTTGGTTTTATACCCTCAGTTGTGATGATGTGACCGAGAAATTCAGTTTCTTTTCTCATAAACTCGCATTTATCCAACTGTAGTTTTAAGTTAGCTTCTCTAAGCTTCTTAAATACCTTTTGTAGCGACAAAATGTGTTCCTCCAATGAAGTGGAAAAAATAATAATGTCGTCTAAGTAGACCAGACAATCTTTAAAAATTAAATCTTCTAAGAGATTGTTCATACAACGTTGGAACGTTGCAGGTGCATTCTTAAGACCAAATGGCATGCGAGTGTACTCGTAATGGCCATGTTTAGTCGAAAATGCGGTCTTGGGTATTGAACCAGGATCCATTTGGATTTGGTGGAAGCCTTTGGCTAGATCAATGGTTGTGAAATATTGACATTTTCCAAGTTTGTCTAATATTTCATCCATGATCGGGATAGGGTATTTATCATTAATAGTTAGTTCATTGAGATTGCGGTAATCTATGACTAACCGGAATTTTTGCTTTCCAGATGCATCGTTTTTCTTTGGAACGATTATTACTGGTGAGCAGTAAGGGGATTTGGATTTACGTATGATATTTTGTTTTATCATATCGCTTATTTGTTTATTTACTTCCTCATCGTATATTTGAGGATATTTGTATGGACGCTTGTAAATTGGGTCCTCATGTTTCGTTAGAATTTTGTGTTTAATTGTACTAGTGAAAGTCAAATTGTCACCTTCATGGTACTGGATATCACGAAATTCATGTAAAACTTTTTTTATTTTTTCTTTTTCTTCTGAGTTTAGGTGCTCTAGCCTAAACTCATTGTTTTCTATTAATTCATTATTAATAGCGAAGTTAAATGGTCTGTCCTCTGTTGAGGGTGGATCAAGGCACTCTTGTGCGGTCATGTCCTCTTCGACCTCTTCGTCATTATATCTAAAACAAAAGTTAAATTCTCCTAAGGTTACGGATCCTTGTGCATAGTCTATTTTTGCTTGACATGCCTCAAGGTATTCTCTCCCAATCAGAACATCATAATGCTCTGAGAAGTCGTGAATATAGAATTTTTGTTTGCTCGGACAAATTTTGCTTGCTCCTAATCGTATACTTTGTTTTAATTCAATAACACCATTTATGGTGTGAACCTTTAATGTTTCGTTGTAAACTGGAAAATTTAAGCGGTTTGTTTTCATTAGATTTATGGTTGAACCTGTGTCGATGACACATTTTAGAACTTCGTCATTCATAATCAATTTTATGAATGGATTTCTTCTGTTTGTTCCGAGGCTTGCTGATGAAAATTTTCGGATGTATCCATTTTCATCTGCCCACTGTTACTATCTCTTTGACGTTTAGTCGGAGGGTTTGGTGCATTCAAGCGTGAATGGGACTGATTTTGGTAGTTTAAGGGATTTTGGTATCTACCTTGACTTAATTTCTGTTGGAACTCGTGGTGAGCTTTCTGATTGTCTTCGGACTTATTGTGCTGTTTATTTTGTGCGTGATAACTCTGATTCGTGTTGGAATAACCACTTGAAATGGTGGTTGGGTTAGCATTTTGCTGATAATTTCCCATGTTCCTACGATTGTTATTTGGATTTCCCTGAACATTATTATTTTTAGGTTTTTCAGTAACGCTATTTTCATATAATCCCTCTCTTTGAGCTACTTGCTTTAGTTTTTGTGTCGACGTAATGTCGTGTCTGGCTAACATCATGAAAAGCCTATCTGGTAATTTTTTTGTAATAACATCTTTGATTGTGTTATTCATAGCATTTGTATAAAGGGTTGTATTGCTAGGTATATTTTCTAGTGCTAACTTATTTAATATAACAAAAGATTTATTCTCGAGCTCCTCGATGAACTTACGGACGTTTCCTTGGTAATTCGTGTTGTATAAGCGTCGAAGGAGTTCTTCAAATGGTGTCTGCACTTTGTATTCTTCAATCAATGCGTTTCTCAGCTCCTGCCAAGTGTTGGCTGCTGTCCTTTGTGATATTCTCTGAGCATCTCCTGTGACTTGCAATTCGATGGCTCCGTATAAGATGCTATGTTGTCTAACATCTCGGGTTGGATACAGGTGTAGGATGTAATCTATCCTTTTAATGAAGGCGTTTAGTTGATCCGTTGATCCGTCAAAGCTTGGCACCTGTCTAAGTTGTGAAAGGGCCTGGTTGAGGTGTTGTTCTGATAATTCCATTGTCATCTTGGTGTAATACACTTTTTTTTGAATAGTTTTGAGTTTGTAGGTTTGAACTTTATTGTTCTTTGATTTTGCACTTTTATTTTAAGTTAAAGTTTGTGATGGATTATTGTGTAAATGTTTTTTTTTTTTTGTGTGTGTGTCTTAAAAAGACTCAGTAATAACGTATTGCAGGGATCAAACGATATGCAAAGCCAGTCGTTATTAACTGTAGTAGCTTTATTGCCCAAAGGGTCAATATTATTAAGCTACTAGTGACCCGAAGGTTCTTGTGCGGATACGTATTCGAGAAAATTTTTATTACACTCCGACAACACTTTCGGTCGCGATTGTGCGTTAGATCTGGGAATTAATTATCCTTTAGCGATCTTTATTTTTTTCCCGACGTATCCTACCGGCTGCGCCAATTAAGTTTTACACGTTAGGTTACTATAAAAAAATATATTTCAATTTATTATTTTCACTTAACGGCTACTTTTGTTGAGTACATTCAGATTTGCTTCCCGAATATGAACTGATTTATCTAACTGTTGCGGTCGCTTAGCAAACTTCGCTTTGAGAGAGTTTGAGTCAAAATTGAGTGAAGTTTGAGCTGCGTCAGCAATTATGCGTGGGATAGTACTCTGATGGGAACATTGACAGTGGCGTGATATTTAGGGTGAATTGTTTATGTCTACCAAAGGGGGACAGTTTGATCTTGACCAATGTCGATGTTATCACCAGGCTCTTTGTTTACAATATTAGAAATGTTTATAATTGTGCTTATGCTTATGTGCTAAGTTATGTTAAAGGGTGGGTGCGACTATGGATATGTCACTATATATATATTTATATAAAATTATACATATATATATATAGATTATTATATATAGTAGTAGTCGGAATTCAACAGTTGGAACAATGAAGCCTACAGTAAAACAGACTATTTGCGCTATATTTCTGGCGGTGTTCGCCATAAAAACCGTGCAGGTATTCAAATAATTTCATTGGTAATGTGATTTACAAAACTATAATTCCAGATGATAACCACCGTCAAAATGACCAATGTCATATGCGAGTCCCAAAACAAAAGTTGGGTCACCTTCGATCTGTGCAGGCTGCGTGCGATTAGTCGCAACAAGACAGTTTTTAACCTTATCTTTAACATTCATAGTCCAGCCCGATCGATTACCCTAATTTGGCAGATGCTGAAAAGAGAAAGTGGATACAAGCCCTGGCTGGGCCGCTATACGATTGACTACTGCGCGTTCCTGCGTAAGACCAACCACCCTGTAATGAAAATGTTTTGGGATGAAATCAAGGACTATATTGACTTCAATCATCCGTGTCCAATGGAGGTGAGTGACAAAACATTAAACGTTTTCTATATGTAAAATCTTTTATGTTTGTATCTTTGCAGGGCAAACTGACAGTAAAGGGTTTCTTTTGGGATGCCAGAAATTTTTCGTTGCCTTATCCCACTGGGGATTACATGCTGCAGCAGACTTGGCTTTTCGATAAGAAGCAGCAGTTTGTTCTAAAACTTTACTTTACTTTCAATCAGGATTTATTTTATGATTTCCAGCACTAAGCAATGGATTGTTGATTTTTGTTAAGAAGCCGCACTTTCAATCAAATATTCACAAATATTTACCATCAAGATATATTTAAAGTTGAATATATTAAAAATGTTTATTGGTTTATGGTATGGAAGTAACTTCAATTATGCCGATAACAACTATTGTTATTGATTGTGCTATTAAATACATAATTATTAAATATGTTTTTGAGATTTTCAATGACAACAATTATTATGAGCGTAGGCTTTACCGATTAGTGTAGAATGATTTATTATTGAGCAGTCAGAAATCAGCCGTTGACACTATGAAAGCAACAATTAAACCGACATTTGCTGTGCTACTTGTGGTTGTGTTCTTCATAAGAACTGTTCAAGTATTCAATTATCAAATCTCGATTTGCATTTACACAATTTGGAATAACTCGGTCCAATTGCAGATGGGAGCGACTGTTAAGTTCACGAATGCCATATGCGATTCCAAGAACACAACTTGGGTTACCTTTGATCTGTGCCGGCTGCGTGCGATAAGTCGCAACAAGACTGTTCTGAGCGTCTACACAAATATTCTTTATCCAGCCTATAATGTGCATCTCAACTTTCAGATGCAGAAGAGGGCAAACGGATACAAGCCCTGGCTAGGAAAGCATACGGTCGACTACTGTGCGTTTATGCGCAAAGTCAACCATCCTGTTATCAAAATTTATTATAATTTAATCAAGGACTTCACATCGTTCAACCATACGTGTCCCTTTGTCGTAGGTAGAGATCTCTCTTAGCACAGTCAGTTAGTAATGTTGTCGTCATCTATTTTCAATGCAGGGCAAACAGATTGTTAAGGATTTCTTCTGGGACCCAACAGATTTTCTGTTGCCTTTTCCCAGTGGGGACTACGCCCTGCTACTAACTTGGATGTTCGACAAGAGGCCGCAGGTTTTAACGAAATTTTACTTTACATTCCGTCAGGATTTGTTCAAAGATTAATAAATCTCCTCATGCATAATAGCATATTATAATATCATGTGTACTCTTATATATTAACAAATGCTTGTTTGTTTCTTATTGTAGAAATCGTTTACGTAAATGAAGAATTAAACCATTTGCGAGTCAGCAATTAAATTTTTTTTTGCTCTGATTACCAATCAGTCAGTTTTCAATAAATATATAAAAAAGCGGCAACAGTATTACCTTAAATTTTACTTAACTTTCCATCGGGACTATTTTATTGAACAACTAATTCGATTTGGGAGCAGCAGTAAAACATGTCATTGACCAAATTAGATTGAAATAAATATCTAAATCTCGATTTAAAAAAAGTGCTTAAATGATGTGTAAATATCAATTACTTGTGGCAGCGAAATGCCCAATTCAATAAATAATTAAATAATTTTTTGCTTGTTGAGCAAGTTATTTATAGAGCTCATTATATTTAACTACGCACAAAAACCTATTTTTATGCACGTGCTCCTGCAAGTATGCGAATATTAACTATTATTATTATTGATTTTGTGCTATTAAGTCGGCAAATTTATAATAATTTCGCCAGTGTAATGGGTAAATAATTATGCTTTTGAGGTTTTTGCAAATAGTTTATAATCATAATTTTGCAGTCATAATTCAACAGTTGAGACAATGAAGCCCAACGAAAAGCTGACTCTTTGTGTGATCTTTATGGGCGTATTCTTCACAAGCACCGTACACGTATTTAAAATGAAATCTTTGCCATTTTGATTGTGTAATCAAAAACAAACAACATCTAATTTCTAGATGATCACCTCCGTCAAATTCACCAATGCCATTTGCGAGTCCAGAAATACATCTTGGGTCATCGTCAATGGATGTCGCCTGCGTGCGATTAGCCGCAACAAGACGGTTTTGAACACCGACATCAGCCTTCTCTATCCGGTCCACAATTTGCATCTTAACTTTAAGATGCAGAAAAGGGCAAATGGATATAAGCCCTGGTTGGGCGAATACACGGTTGATTTCTGTGCATTTATGCGCAAAACAAATCATCCGGTTATTAAAATATTTTGGAATTTGAGCAAAGATTTTACTAACTTCGACCATCCGTGTCCCTTTGAGGTGAGTGGCCTTAGATAATTATATAAAAACATATTTTATATGGAAAGTTGGTCTCCCTGCAGGGCCGACTGACCATAAAGGATTTGTTCTGGGACGCCAGAAACTTTTCGCTGCCTTTTCCCAGCGGCGATTATTTGCTGTATCTAACTTGGATTTTCGATGTAAAGCCACAGTATATAGCAAAAGTCTACTTTACTTTCTATCAGGATTTATTTAAAGAATAACTATTTATGTTTTGGGAGCAGCAGTGAAGAAGCAGTTAACAATGTTATTCAAAAAGTGAATCGAAATATATATCAAAATCTCAACATACATATCTATTTATATATAAATATTTAATAACTTCGGCAATTTAATGGCACAACAATTATGATTTTGACGTTTTATCAGTTAGTTTATATCCATGTAGCAGCAGTCATAATTCCACAGTTGAGACAATGAAGCCTACACTAATGCTGACTATTCATGTAATATTTGTGGGGCTGCTCTTCATAAAAACCGTGCAGGTATTCAACTAATATAAAGATATTATACGTGGTATCTTATAATTGAATATAATTAATTCAAATTCCAGATGATAGCTACCGTCAAATGGACCAATGTCATTTGCCAGTCCAGAAACACAACTTGGGTTACCTTCGATAAGTGCCGACTGCGTGCGATCAGTCGCAACAAGACAGTTCTGAACATTGATATTAATGTTCATTTTCCAGCCCGATCGATAACACTATATTGGCAGATGCAGAAAAGGGAAAATGGCTACAAGCCCTGGCTGGGTCGGTATACGATTGATTACTGCGCGTTTCTGCGTAAGACTAACCATCCCGTAATGAAAATATTTTGGGATGTAATCAAGGACTTCATAAACTTTAATCATCCGTGTCCCATAGACGTGAGTGACAAAATAGTGTAGATAAGATGTTATTATAAATTGAATCTCTTTGCAGGGCTTACTGATAATAAAGGATTTGTTCTGGGATGCTAGAAACTTTTCTCTGCCTTTTCCCAGTGGCGATTACATGCTGCATCTCACTTGGCTTTTTGATAAGCGGCAGCAGTATTTCCAAAAGATTTACTTTACTTTCCATCAGGACTTATTTAAAGACTAACCATGGCTTTCCATTAACCTAATATATGTTTTCTGGATCTTCTATCAGTTTTGATTGTTTATAATTGTCACACACGTGCTGTCATTGTTAACTGATTGGTAATTGCGGCCAAAACAATTGTAATTTCGGCACAATCAAATAAAATTGCTTAAATATTTATATTATTAAGCATTAGCAGTTGTTCAAGCGATACGCACTCTGGGTGCAAATCATTTGAAATCAATTCAGCTGTCAATTTGGTTAAGGGTCAGTGTTCAGTACATTTAAAATCTCTTCCCAACGGGTCGATGATATTGTATGCTTCTTCTTATATTTAATTGTATTTAATTTAAATGCTATATAATTGTAATTATTCATCATATTATCAACTATCCATATTACATATTTTTTTCTATATATTTTCTTTTCCCAATTATCCTTTATATATTCCTAAAATATTCCTGTTCAGTTTTAAGGCATTTAACTATATGTATAGGAAATTTAACCAAAATTTGACCAACAATAATGTTGCCAGATTTAGATGCCAAATTGTTTTAGAGCCCAAACCATGAACAAAGAGCCAAACCTCGTTGATGAGATTTGGTCGAGTTATGGAGGTGGGAAATTTTGAACTATGTCTGTATATATATATACATATATTTGCATATAAATATATGTATATATAAATATTTATATGTATATGCTTCCTACTGCCTGTTAGCCACAATTGCACAAAGCCTAAACAACTCATTTTCGCAACATCTTCAATAGGTCCCAACATTATATCGATTGACATTTGGTAGACTGTAACTGAAACTGAACCAGAAATATAACTGCGCATTTGATGTGGCCAATGTCAGGAATATGGCCCGAAGGCCAACTTATCAGACGTAACCCCATTTCGGATTCAGACAGCAGACAGCAGACAGCAGACAGCAGTATTTCATTGTGCGTCCTCTTGCATCAGCCAATTTATCATTTGGGCCAATCGATGCGATTAGCAATCAAATTGGCATTTGATTAGCTCGTCTCGGCCGGTTGGAGTACAAAGTGCGGCTAAAAACTGTTGCAACATTTCTTTAAATGGACTTAAATATTTGTGTAGGCGTGATTCACGCAGCGAGTACTTTGCTCTCAAAGATGATGCAGAGTGCGACCGGAAGTGGCCATGGCCTAATGGCTGATAAGACTGATAGACTTCGTCTTATCAGTGACTGCAGCCTCTTGTCGGATGTGTCTATGACCATATATGGATAGACCTTACAGGTGGGCATCTCGCGGCAGTTAGTCATTAGCTGACAAGCACGCGCTTTGCCGCCCGATTACTCATACGCCACGTAATCGCGGAGCTGCCTATCGCAGCCCAGTTAAATGATATGGCTGTGTTTTTTTTTTTTACCGTTCCATTGTTACGCTAGGTCAGTTAATAGCGGGCTAGCTAGCGGGCAGACTTTGAGATCTGGTCTGTATGCTAATTGAATACAATTTGTAGGCGTCGATATATGCCGATTTATCTCCGTCGCATAAGCATACGAAATTTATACGCTTCGCGGTTTTTATTTTTTAGTTTTACCTGCCCCGCACGGTACGGCAAGTGCCGCACCTCTATAACGGATCTCTCGCATCTTAATTGCTTATGAGATACATCTGCTGGCTGCTCTAGTTACGGCTCAAGTTGTGCATTTTATGCGCATTTTGATGGGATCGTGCCGCCGCCAAACTGGCGACAATATCCATGCCCATTTGCATGGGAACGTTCTATAACTGTTCATTGGGGCAACTTCCTTTGTCTGCGGCCAAATGATAAGAGGAAACAAATCACAAATTTATACCTGGACGCTGACGAAGACTTAATGCACTTGCCAATGGCAGATTTAATGCCTGATATAGAGGTAAGGGCTGATATTCTGACAGATATATTTCTTTATATTCGCCAAATACGTGCATTTGTTTATCATCTTTAATATGGCTGTTCATTCGCAGGACAGCTTGATGTTCTAGCCATCTGATGCGAATGTCCCCAATAAATACCCATCTAGCAGCAAGGGCAAGAGCTCATGTCAAGTTTCACGGGGACCCACAGCCATTGGCTAGGGTATGAGAAAAGAAAAACTTCAAATTCAAAATACAAAATGAAAATTTACTTTGATTTTTGCGTTGTTTCTCAACTGAATGCATTTAAAACTTACAAAGTATTCGTGAATCGCCTAACGCTACAGGTGTACGAGTATGAGTATGAGTACGAGTATATGAGTACGAGTATATGAGCATATGAGTATGTGATTGCGTGAATGTGAATGGGTACGAGTATTTAAGTCTAATGCATACAAATTGGAATTGAATTTTGATGAATTGTGCAAAAACTGAAAAAAATATTCAAAGCGTGCGAATGTTTCGGTATCCGTGTTCAATGGGTACATGGTATCAGATTGGAATTCTTCAGATTGGCCAGACGCAGCTGCTCCAAGGCAATCTCATGCGCTTTTAAGTGCTCGCGTGTCGCCTGCTCCAGTTCGCTGAGCCCGGTGGAGCTCTTTATGGTTGCGGCAGAGGAGGTGGCAGTGGAGGCGCTGGCGCTGGAGGAGATGGAATTGGCTGACAGCTGCGCATTGCTGATGGTCTTCACCAGCGCCTGCGGCTGCTGAACGTAGCGCACCAGAAAGGGATTATGCGCATGCTCGGCCAGCACATAGGACTCAGAGATGGGCGCGGACGGACTGATGGGCTGACTTGGCTGGCCGGACTGAATGCGCAGGAAGAAACCATTCTGGACCTGTTGCTGCTGCGCGATATGCTGAGGCTGGGCGGGCTGTGACTGTTGCTGCGCCGGTGCCGCAGGCTGGGCAATGAACTTAAGGCTGCTGCTCGGCTGCTCCACGGGCGTCGACTCAAAGGTATTGGCAATTTTCAGCTGCTGCTGTAGCTCCAGGCGCTCGGCCTGCAGACGCTGCGACTCCTCGAGGCGTTCGCTTTCGATGCGCTGCTGTTCCTGCTGCTGCAGTGCCAGACGCTCGGCATCGAGCAGGCGCTGCTCCTCCATTAATCGCTGCAGCTCGCGTTGACGCTCCAGCTCGAGCAGTCTGAGCTCCTCGCGACGCTCCTGCTCCAGTTCGCGCTCCGCATCCCGATCGCGCTCCTCGTACCGTATCTTGTCCGAAATGTCAGCGACCTTATCCTCGGCCGTCAGCTTAGCTTGACTTAGCTGCTGAATCTGCTGGTCATGCAACTTGATGCTTTGAACGTAGCCGGCGGAGTTTGGAATGGCTGCCTTTAAGGCGGCTTGTGGCAGAGAGGGTGTTGCAATGTATTCCTGCTGGGGCTGTGCTTGTGCCTCGGCTGCTTGGCGCAGGATCACCTCGTTATATTGCTTCAGGTGCTCCTCACGGGCGCGTTTCACCTCGGGCGTCTCCTCGACGGGCTGCGGCGCCTGCTGCTGCTGTTCAATGGGCTGAACGGGTCTGGTCTTGACGAGTTGCTCCTGAATCTGTTGCTCTGCTGGCTGCAGCTGCTGCTGCAGTGCCTCGTTGTAGCGCTTCAGATGCTCCTCGCGAGCGCGCAGCACCTCGGCTGTCTCCTGCACGGGCTGAGGTGTTTCCAAGGCAGCTTGGCTCTGCGGTTCGCTTTGCTTGAGCTGCGGCTGCTGCTCCCAGCTGGCGGCAACGGGCATTGGAATCTTAGTTTGTACGCTCTTCAACTGGATGACGGCATCCTTAGATGGTTCAGCTTGCGGCACCGTCGACTCAGCTTGCAGCACCTGGAGACGCGCCTCGTTCCAAATGCGCAGATGCTCATCGCGTGCGCGCTGCACCTCCGGACTGAGACCGGGCACCGCATCAAAGGCGTTCGTCTTGATGATCTGCTCCAGCGGCTCGTACTGTGCCAGCATATTGGCCGACGGCTGTTTGCCCTCGGCGCGCAGGCGCTCCAGCTCTGTGCGCAGGGCATTATAGCGCTGCTCGCACCAGGCGCGGAAAAGCGCCAAATGCTGCTGCTGCTGCTCCAGTTGATCCTGCACCTTCACCTGCTGATCAATGCTGCGTATGCCATAGAGTGGTTCCGGATAATTGAAGGCAATCAGACGCTCGGCGCCCGTGGTGTCCAGATAACGCATATAGCCCTGGGCCAGTTGGCTCTGGACGGGAAACTCACCACGCGCCGGCGCATAGGCCAAGAGATTGTTGCGGTAGCCAATGGAGTGCGCGTGCGCGCCCAGCGCCAGGAGACTGAGCAACAGCAGACGCATCTTGCTGAATTACTTGGAAACGGATTTGTATATAGAAATCGTTGACTTGTAGGACTTTTGGCACAAACAAACCAAAACTTCGCTACAACTTCGGCGACTACTCGAGGAAGACTGTTGCGGTTCTGGGCTGAACTCTGGGCTTTTTATAGTCGAGAACCAGGCAACAGCCAGACGCTGTCCTTGGGCTGACCCTGTTCGGTCAGTTTGAGGATGCGCCAATAAATATTTTCTTAACCCAGGTCCACGACTCGCCACAACACATACATCGCATCTCAGTTACCAGGTCTCAGTTTCGCGTGCTGCTTATCTCCCGGCCTGGCTGTGTGTTCTGGCCGTTAATTGCCAGCCCCATCCTGTTGTCGCGTCCAGTTGGTTCTGCCGTTATGCGGCCCGTTCCATTCACTAGCCGCTGCCTCAAGGTCGAGCCTGGTATATTTTTAGTCCAGGCGCTGTCAATGTTATGGACCAATGCATAAATTAAATACCGCAAAGGGCAGACAGCTGGTAACCGGCCAATTGGCTCGATCCCGGATCGATTTATCAATCGTCCCCTCTGCCGCCATATATGCCCTTTGGCATCCCTATTCAAGTGCGACTGACATTTGTCAAAATATCAATTGAGTGCAGCCCATTCCCAACCGCCAGCTGGAGACCCAAATATGGCGTGCACTTATTTTTAGCCGGAACTGTTGTACAGTCGCCGCCTGGACGCGCCTGCATGACGGCAAATGCGATGCGACTGGACGTGAACCTGGCTTGGGATCAAGTTTATTAAGGCTGGGAGGGGGGTAGGATTGCAGCAATTGGCAGAGGACGCAACCGGTTGCCAGCATTTGCGGCATTTAATAATAAATTCAAGTTAATTTCAGTCGGCGCCGTTATATGGGCAATTC